TAGATCCTTTCATTCCATTTTCCACGAGAAAAAGGCTAATGCCACAGGCAGGTGATTGAGCTTCAGGATTGGTAACCGTGACTACAATCACAACAGCACTTAACCAGCCATTAGTGATGAACACCTTGCTTCCACTGAGAATCCAATCACTTCCATCTTTTTTGGCATTTGTTCTTACTCCTTGTAAGTCACTCTCAGCCCCAGGCTCTGTCATTGCTATGGCACCAGTACATTTGCCTGCAGTCATCTGGGGGATGAAGTGCTTAATCTGTTCTTCTGAGCCATAGTTTGCAATATAGGGCATGACAATATCTGAATGAAGACTAAAACCTGGACCTGAACAATTTACGTAGGATTGCTCCTCCCAAACAGCAGCTGTTGAGTATAGGTCACCACCAGTCCCACCATGACGTTCTGCAACGTTGACACCAAGCAGTCCTTGTCTTCCAGCTTTCCCCAAAGCTCCCTACTCACTTCCCCAGCTTTCTCCCATTCTGCATGATTAGGAACCACTTCTTCTTGAAAAAACTTTTTTACGCTTTCCCAGAAAATGTCGTGCTCGGAAGAAAAGACTCTTCCAATTCCTGTATCTGTAAACCTTTTAGCAGAACTTTCTAGGTGTGCTTCCCTTCCAGAATGAGAACACCTCACGGCGGGCTGGCACCAGGAGGCTTAGGGACCCACGGACAGGCGCACAGGCAGGACTGGACAGCGAGGGGCGGCGGGGCTCCTCAGTGTCCGTGGAGGGGCGGGCACCGGGGGCGGGACCCTCCGCGAGGGCGCCCCGCCCACGGAGTCCCGCTGCCAGGGCCCCGCGGCTGCCCGCTCGCTCGGGAGCGCACTTCCTGGCCCGGGGCGGGAGCGAGCGCCCATCGTGCATGTGCATTTTAATAGGCAAAGTATACTGTCAGGCATGTATCAGAATGAGGCACAAAGTAATATGCAGTGCAAAATTTATGAAGAAAAAAATTCACTGGCTAGGGTTGTGGCTCAGTGGTAGTTTGCCTAACATGCACAAGGCCCTGGGTTCAATCCCTAACACCTCCTACCTCCACCAGCAACTGGCCCCATTAGAAAAATACGAATTGTAAGTCATTCTCAAAACCTAACATTTTCATGAAAGCTGATTAATAAACTGGAAATGTTTTGAGTGCCACAATAATTTTAAATACAAATAAAAATTGAAAAATATTACCAAAATGTTTAAAAGGTAGGTTCAAGCCAGGACTGGTAATGGATACCTATATGGAGTCCCAGGTTCAGGGAGGCTGAGGCAGGATCACGTGAGCTCACGATCAGCCTGGGCAACAGGCAGGTGAGATGCTGACTTAGCAAAACAACAAAAGGCGGGTTGAAAGCCCAGCAAGGATGAGCCAGAATCACCTCCCCAGACCAGTTCAGTTACTCAGGTGATCATGCCTAGGAATGTATGGTCTGCTGATTCGGCCTCACTGGTGTTTTCTTAGAGGACTGATGATAGACTTTTTTCTAGTGAGCAGGGGTGCAATGGCCAGGGTGCTCTACAGGAAGAGAATCTGTGCTATATGAAGTTGTGCAGGGGATTTATTCAGAAGGGTCACAGGATCAGAGGTGGGAGTGTCCACAGTGGCGCTGCAGAGACTGACCATGCAGGAGCTGCTCTGCCCAAGAGGCTGGAAGCCGCGGAACAAGAGGCATCAAGGGTGCAGCACCAAAGGCCCGGAAGCTCCCTGGAGAGTCCCTGGTGTAAGTCTTCGTCGGAAAGCTGGAAAGCGGAGTCTGATGTCCACAGGCCCAGCAGAAAACGCGGGGCAGAGCTTTTCCACCAGGCCAGGCTCCTACTTTTTCCCTTGGAGTCCATCCAGGCTGCAAGCCTATTGGTTGATGCCACCCATAATCGAAGTGGATCTTCCCACCTGTTTGCTGGCCTACCTGCCAATCATCTCTGGAAACACCCCACAGGGACACCCGTAAGTGTTTATTAATCTGCTAGGCATCTCTTAATCCACCTCAGTTTACGAACTGAATTTGTTTTATGATTTTGGGGTAAGATGGCTGCATTTGTGTTTGTGTGGGGGAGACGCCTGTGGTTGTGTTCATCAGCAGATAGGGAGTTTGTGAACAGAAGCAAAATTTTGTGGACCACTTTTTGTGAGCTACATTATTTGCAAAGAAGGGTTTGTACTGTATCTCGATTAATGGTCACAGCGGGTTAGGTGTATAGTGGTTATTTAAAATTAAACTGAGTAAAACTCGTTTCCTTTTGAGGATAGATATCATTTCCTTTATTTTCTTGGATAGCTATACTGAAAAAGTTCTTGAATACCATCGACAGGAATGTCATACAATATATAGATTTAAATCTAATGTTATTAATACATCGAACTTTACATTTGTGGACATGTTATGTCTAATAATACCTGTGTAAATGAAGATACAGTTGGGTGACACGGGAAAAAAGAGCATTGATATTTCTAGTTCACTATGTCAATTAGATTGGTTTCATAGGCTGGGGACTTAGCTCAGTGGCACTGTGCCTGCCTTGCAAGCCCAAGGTCCTGAGTTTGATCTCCAGTACAAAAAACAAAAAAAAGACTAACGTCACAGAAGCATAATGTATATTAAAAGTCAATATTTACATACTAAATGTAAAATAAACATTGTGTCTCTAGCTGTGATGTAAGATGTTATGTCCTTGGAAAAGCAAGGGTCTGTAATAACCAAAATAATCTCAGAAAAGAATTTGGAAGGCTCAGACTTGCAGATTTCCAAACGAAAACCTGCAGTTATCAAGGCTAAGGATGGGATGTAGGTTAGTGAAATAAAACTGAGGGTTCAGGAGTAGACACTGATATTTGGCAAAGGGGCTCCTAGCAGGTATGTTTCTTTGGGAATCACAAAATGACTAAAATTGGATTATGGTGACTAAGTATCCATGAATATAATAAAATACTTACGTATACACTTTAACAAATCGTTAAACTAGACTACAAATTGTTAAATTTATACTACATTTTAAAAGGGTGAAATTTCTGGTAGTATGTAAATTATAGCTCAATGAAGCTGTTATATTTTTTTAAAATGTTGTTTCATAGTAAGAAATTTTTCTGAGATCAAAAAAATCATAGGTTTCTTAACTTTTTATTGAAGATTTTGGGGGTAAGCTTTCATTTCAATAAATACCATGGACCTAGATCCAATGTTACTGCTGAGTGCCTTTGCATGAAGCGCTGTTTATCTGCTTTCAGTTGTGGAGTTAAATTTTTTGGAGACCCCAGAGAAATAGTGGAGTTAATTTTTAATACTGTTTATCTCTTTGCATCCAGCATACTTTAGTTTGCTGTTGGCTGCTTCCCAAAATGACCACAACTCTACTACCCACCTCCCATTAAAAATAAGAAAGATTTGGGCCGGGGATTTAGCTCAGTGGTGCCACTGCCTGCCTTGAAAGCACAAGGTCCTGAGTTTGATCCCCTGTACCAAAAAGGTAAGAAAAGATTAGCCGGGTATGGTAGTGCACACCTGTAATCCCAGTACTTGGGAGGCTGAGGCAGGAAGATAGCTCGAGCTACATAGTGAGTTCAGGCCCAGGCTCAACTACAAAGGGAGACCCTGCCTTAAAAAACCAAAAAAAAAAAAAAGAAAAAAGAAAAAAATCATATAATTATTTCAGCATTTTCATTTTATACATCAGGATGAATTTAGATTGGAGAGCTGTCTCCTAGATTAGAGCTACTTGCTACAGCTGGTTTTAGGACAAAGTTCCTTTGAGTTTGTGGTATATTAGGAAAGAGTCACACAAGAATAAAAACGACAGATTTTTATGGGAACTTAACCTAGTTATGATCACCACGAGTTTTCCTCCAGGAAAATATTTTGACATCAATTTTAATCTTGGCCCAACTTTTTGCTATTAGATACATTTCAAAGGCATGAAACACCTTCCTCACTAACCAAGATCTCCCAGCCCTCTAAGAAATGCAAATCAGTCCAAATTTAACCTGAGTGCAACATTAATTTGGAACCTGCCATTAAAACGTGTATCACACATTTTGAAAAACATGAATTATTTTAAAGTATCTGCTCTTTGGCACATCTGCTTATCGATATATTTTTAAAAGATTACCTTTTTTCCCCTACACACTCAAACCAATGCTTCACTCATTTTTTTCAGTCTTGTGGCTTTTTTCCTTCCAAGAATCCAGGAATATTTAGAAACAACTCCATAGCAGATATTAAACCTGCATACACTTTTTAAGGTGGCAAAACTCACTAGAAAGAAAAAAAGTACAGTGAAAGCTTTAGGCTACTTTTAAGAACTCTTATCTTGTAAGCCAGTATTAACATTATCCTGAACACAACTTCTGTACTAAGAGCAAAGGTTCTTTATGACCCCGTAAGAATTACTACCACTAACTCACAACCGGTTACCTGGGATCCGGTAGGCCTCGCGCGTTTGCGAGTTCGGGACTGAGCCTGCCTAGAAAGGGGTCCGTGGGCGCCCGTTGGGGGCACAGCCCCTGTCCCGGAGCGGGGCGCGCACACCGGGGTCCCGGTCCCTCCGGCGGTACACGCGGGCCGACTGTCCCCGCAGCCCTGGCTCTTCCCCGCGGGCCTCGATCAACTCGGGGCGGTGTGGACCTCAGCGCTCCCTCCCGCCCGGGACCCGGCGAGCGGCGGGGCCGCGCCCGAGGCCGCAGAGACAGAGGCCAAGCGCAGCGGGCAGAGGACGGCGCGCCGAAACCCTGCACGGCCAGCGGAGGCTGCGCGGACCCAGGCACTCCACGGCCCCCAAGCCCGCGAGGCTTCAGGCCCGGGGCGGCGGGGCAGATTCTCGCGGGGGCGCGCCCACGGGCGGAGGCGCCCCAACGAGGAGCAGGCCCGGCCCACCCCGCGTCCACGGGCGGGACCCTCGCGGCCTTCCGTCCAATCGCGTTCTGCAGTTTTAAGAATGGGGCGGGACCTTCGCAGGTTTCTGTCCAATCCCGTTCTCCGGCCCGCGCGAGGCGGGACCCTCGCGACTTCCCGTCGGGTTCGCGCTCCGCGGCGGAGCAGAGCGGAGCAGAGTGGAGGTCGGCGCGCTGCGAGTGCGGCGAGGGACGCTGGGCCGGTGAGGACCGGCGGTCCTGGGAGGCTGCGCTCCTCCCCTGACGCGAGGCCGAGCCGTGCCGAGGGCGGACGCCGGGCCCGCGCCCTGACTGCCGCGCGGTCTCCCGGGGCCCGGTGGAGGGCCGCGAGTGGGGGCAGGCGCGGGGCTCGGACCGCCGGCAGTGGTCGGCGGAGCGGGAGGCCAGGCTCCCGGGGGTGGCGGGCCCGGGGCCGGGTGTCCTCCAGGTGCGTCCGCCGCCCCTCGCCGGCCCCTCGCGCGCTCGCATCTTCGCTCTCCGGCAGTCGGGTCCGCAGGCTCCCTGTGGCCCTGAGCGGCTGGTCCCCCCGGTGTCTGGGTCGCCTGTTCGTTCTTTTCCTCATTCCTGCTCTCCCCCACTTTCCGTGAGTGGACGTCCTGTGGCCCGGGAAGCTTTCTGCTAAAACAGTCCGGGCCAGGGATGTAGTTCAGTGGGGCAGCGCCTGCCTGGCAAGCTCAGGGTCTTGAGTTCGAGGCCTGGTTCCGCCAAAACAAAACAAAAACTGCCGTCAGTTTCTTATGCTAGTGAGGTGTGCTGCGTGACTTGACCAGCTTCGTGGTTGAGAATTCAAGACAACTTTTAACGAACCTGAGAATTCCTGCTTTTCTTGTTTCCCGTTCCTGGATTGAGCACTGAAGTGGGTATGCAATTAGTGCCCTTGCTCCTGGCTTCCTAGCGACTATGAAGTGGCACGGAGGTACACAGAGAGTAGCTTCTTAATGCATGCCCGGGTTTTTGTTGCTGCCTAAACAAATTAGCACAGCCAACACTGAAAACAGCGGAGATTTAGCATCTCACAGCTTCTGCTGATCGCAGGCCGGAGTGAGTTTAGCTGGTAGTCTGCACAGAATCTCTCAAAGCTGAACTGTCCCTGCAGGTCTGGCTCTTTCCTGGGCTCTGGTAGGGCTAGAATCCTCCGCGCTTTCTCAGCCTGTGGGGAGACTTCCCTGCAGCTGTGGGACCGAGGTCGTCCTTAGACCCAGCCCTGTGCACCTCAGCCCTGGCTTTCAGCGAAGGCCCCCTGGGCCTCAACATCAGCAGAGTGATTAGATTGCGTCTAGCTGGACAGCCTCCCTTTTTGAAGTCTGTTAAGTAAATGATGATCGCAGGAGTAGGGGTCGAATCATATTCACAACTTCTGGGGAGTAGAGGGTGGGTGAAGGCCATTCTTAGAAATTCTGCCTGCGTCACATGGTTGCTCCAAGCTGGATTTCTAAAATTTAACATTATTTTTGTAGTACGTATTTTCAGTACATGCAGTTTACAGTCATCTTGGGGAGGGGGCACATGTACATAAAACATCTTGTTTCTCTTTTAATCCCCTTCCCTCCCTTTCCCTCTAATTACCCATCCCGAGTATCCTTCTTGTTGATGTTAATCTTAGCTCACGTTATGGCATATGGTGTTTATGTTCATCGAGGCTATCAGGCTCCTGCACATGGCACATCTTTATTCTACTTATTTTCCCTTCCCCTTCTCTTCACCCCTCATTCTCTTTCCCTTGGACTACTTCTCTGTTGCAAGAGATCCATCCCCTTGTGTCCTTCTATCCATCCTTTCTTACTCTCTGTAGTCTGCCTAGAATGAGAGATACCATTCGGTATTTAAATCAAGGTGGATTATTTTTGTAGTGTGCTTTTTCGGATGTTTAAAAAGTTGTAATGATGCCAGTTATATGACTGTGTTCAAGATAAGGAAATTCAGGTAGTTGTCTATGGCCAAATGGCTAGAAAGTGGCTGAGTCTGCCCAGACCCAAATGCATTAAGTCCAAAGCCATATTTGTGGACGTTCGAGGTGGAATGCATCCAGTGTCATCAGAAGAAGCTGAGGGGTGGTGAGCTCGTTGCTGCCCTTCCTTTCAGAATTGTCTGTGTATTAGTGGTATAGACAGTTTTTCATGATGGGGACAATCAATATACAGTTGCATGAATAAAATAAAAATCGAAGGATTTGGGTTTGTTGTGGTTTTTTTGCTTTGTTTTTGCTGTTACTCAGGCTGACCTTGAACTTCTGGACTAAAGCAGTGCTCCTGCCCCAGCCTGTCCAGTAGCTGGCATGACGGGCATGTGCCGGTGCACCCAGCATGGTTTTGGTTGTCCGGAGTAGTGGAGTGATTCTAACGTACACAGTGGCTTCTGTAAGTGGGTCTCCGACGCTGTGCCAGTTGCCACCCCTGAGCCACAGTGAGGAGGAGGAGGAGGGGTGCAAGGAGCACATGCAGCCCTTTTCAGCGGCATGGCAGGGAGTCATCCATACAGCACAAGGCCAGCTCTCAAGGGCTAAGAAAAGCAGAGGTGGTGGCAGGACCCCCGCTGACACCTGGGTTCTGTTAAGAAAGGGAGAAAAAAGTTGTTAGCTAAAAACCATCTCTGCCGTGCCTTTGTCTTTGATACTGTTTAGTTTTGTAAACTATGAGCAGGATATTTAAAAAGAAATGTCTGTAAGGACAGGAAATTCTTATTCAGTATAAACATTCATTTTCTCAGTTATTTTAATGTGTAATTAAATTTATAAATGCTTTTTGGAAAATCTTTTTTATTTAGCACTCCTATACCTTATTCATATTTTGGGTTAGTTTGATTTCTTTAGTGAGAATACTTGAGTGGAAAATACGTTTGCTTCGGGGAACTTGAAATCACCCTGAGTAGACTTCTCTCCGCCTGTGGCTCACGGTCTGTGACCTGTCACTCCTGTTGTACAGCTCTTCCCTGCTTCTTCATGTGGTCTCCTAGTCCTCCTCAGGGCATCGTCCTTTTCCACACAGCACATCCTACCTACCTGTCGAGTCTGTGGCAGGTCCCCTCACCCCTGGCATGTGGCCTTTTTGTGTAGGTGGAGTATAGTCTTGACTGATGGTGTGAGCTCTGGGTATTACCTCAAACAAATTGCAAAATTTCTCTAAGTTTATTTTCTTCACCTGTGGAATGGCAAAGAGTGTCGCCTTGGAGATGATATGAACTTTTTGGAGGTAAATGTGTGTGTTCTGTAACATACTGCAGAGCCTGCACATGTTAGGTACTCAATAAACAATGACTGTACTGGTTTCTCTGGGCACTCTGGCTTCTAGCACTTGGAGTCTACACTTGTATTTTGGCTTCTTTATCTGACGAGTTTATAAATTGTGTAAGACCTGGGACCAAGTCTTGGCTAGTGGGCAACCCCTAAGGGCTGGCTTAGTGAATTGAACCTAGCATGTGTAAGAACATATGTGAGACTGAAGTTGTGAGGCCTCTCTCTTTTTTCTTTAGTTTTCTTATTGTGATATACCATGGAAAACCAACTGGCTAAATCAACGGAAGAACGAACATTTCAGTACCAGGATTCTCTTCCATCACTGCCTGTTCCTTCACTTGAAGAATCATTAAAAAAATACCTTGAATCAGGTATGTTCATAATTTTTAATTTTTAATACACCTTAATACTTTTAGCAACTTAGGAAATTATGATTTAAGATGATAAAGGTCTATTTGCTGCTGCTTCTAGGCTCATGATAAAGTATCCTAAATACCTGAAACCTCTCTCACATTACTTCTTCCGTAGTTTGAACAGCCAGGTAGTATTAATGGGTCTCCTGGGAAAAGTGAGGCCCATCTCCTGGCTCCCTGATGCCCTCCAATCCTGCTTCTCGGGCGAGGACCTTCAGATTGCTTCTTACCTTGTCTGTCCTCACACTTAAACTAAGATTCTTATAGTGTAATCTTTGGGTTTATTAGCTGTCGATACTGTACATTAGTTCCTTGAAAAAGCTAGCTGTCTTAAATGCACGAGCCCTCCCGTCCTCTGCGTCTGTGCAGCCTGACACATTTCCTTCCCATTCTCACAGTAGAGTTGTACAAAATCACCGTTTGGGATTAAATTGTCAGTTGCAGGAATTCATTCTGGGTGTCCCCTGATTTTAATCCACATTCATCTGACTGCTCAGGATTTAGGGTTCTACGTTATTCACAAGTGAACATGCAGTTTACCCTGATTACCCTTTGCTGTGTTCCCCATTTTTCATTTGCTTAGTTTACTTTGTATTCAGGGGTTTATTCCAAAACATTCAGCACGGTGAACATTCCTGAACGTATCTAAGCACATAAACTCTTCCCTCAGTTTCACATCTTCTTGGAGAGTCTTCTGAATTCCTCCCCTCTTGCTCCAGGCAGGCTGCATCGCTGTTATTGGGCCTTTCCTTTGAACCATCTCGGCATTCTTGTCCCCTCTTGCCTGTGCTGGGACCTCTGTTTCCAGGATTCAGTGCTGTCTTGTTCCTTGGTTTTCTTCTCTAGTTTTGCTTTATTTTTAGTACAACCCGAGAAAGGATATTTTGGGGCCAAAAAGTAAGAACTAAAAAATTTGTTTACCTGATTGTTTAGCTAAGTGTAGAAGTCTGCATTGGAAATGAGTTTTCTTAAGCATTTTGTTTTCTTTTTTTCCCCCGGTACCAGGCATTGAACTCAGGACCTTGCGCTTTCGAGGCAGGCACGTGCCTCTGAGCTGAATCCCTGGCCCTTCTTAAGCATTTTGAAGGTGTTGTTTGTTCCTCCTGAAATGTGGGATGCCACTCTGATTTTGAGGCAGCGGCTCCCACCAGCCTTTAACACAGGGCCTTTGGCAAACACTGTTCTTACTTAACTCAGGCTGAGCCTTTGGCATTTTGACCTGTTTGTTCTTGGCTGCCACCACAGTTTTGTCTGTTATGCCCTCTCACACAAGAGACATTCCTCAGATACCTGCCGGTCTTCATGCTTTTATCTTCCATAGAGAGACCCCAAGAAGCCGACTGAGGACTCTGTGCCAGGTTGGGCTTGACCAGGGGCAGACGGAGCCCACTAGGGAGCACCTACATCCTGCCGCTCCTTTCTCTGGGCTCATCAGTTTCCCCACGAGGAACCCGCTTATTTCCACCTGAAGGACATAAGCTTGTTTTTTTGGAACTGAGTGAGGGGAGTGGGCCGAAGGAGCTACATTGTTCAGGGTGTACACTTTTTACAATGTAGATTAAGTTTACTTTTAAATTGATACATAAAAACATAAAAATTATATATGTTAATGGGGGCCAGTGTTATGTGGGTTTTTTGGTATGGGGATTGAACTCGGAACCTTGCTGCTTGCAGGCCAGGTGGCGGCACCAGTGAGCTAAATCCCCGGGCCCTAGTGTTATGTTTGATACATGTATACGTTGTAATGTTTAAACTAGGTTAAACACATCAGTCTCAGACATGTATCACTTCATCGTGGTGAAAACCTTCAAAATCCTTCCTTCTGGCTTTTGCGATACGCAGTGCATAATTGTTATGTACAGTCTCCTCCTGTGCAGTGGGACAGCAGAGCCCTCCCTCCCTCTGCTGTGACTTGGTGCCCGCAGTCCTCAGCCTCCCATCCTCCTTCTGATGTCCTCTCCCCAGCCTCTGGGAACTGCATTTCACTCTTAACCTCTGCAAGATCCACTTTCAGATTCTGCCCGAAGTATGATCAGGGGCACTCGTCTCTCCGTGCCTGCCTGACTTCACTTAACGTGATAACACCATCCATCCGTGTTCCAGGCCACGGTCTCATTCATCTTCTCTGGCCGGATGGTTTTCCACTGTGGATGTGGATGTGGATGTGCCACATTTTCTTTCTCTGTCCGTCGGCTGATGGGCATTGAGAGTTTCCCTTCCTTGGCTCTTGTAGGCAGCGCTCAGTACAGGATGTTGCCAGCGCCACGGGGCTGGAGTCTGCGTGTTCGGTCTCATCCATTCAGCACCAGGTCCTCCGGGCTTTCTGGTGGAGGTGTGGGTGAGCTGGCACCTGCCACCTCAGAGACTTCCCCGAAGTCCCGTGTTTCCGCCCTCCCTCCCTCGCTGCTGCGGACCGCTGCTTGCACTCATGGGCCTTCCTTGGGTGCTGTGCCAGGACCTGGCCTGCGCACTGTGCCACCTGCCACCCCCCCCACCCCCCGGTTACATTTGCATTCTGCAAAACCGGGCACTGTTTTCCCCAGCGGTTTCTATTTTTAAAACATTAGCTTACCTTATTGCTGTCCTCTTTCCTGTTTTACTTTTCCTTGTCCTTGTGGATTTTTCTCTTTTTCACTACTTTCCTGTCATTGTATCAGGTTTCTTTTTCTTTTTTTCCTTAAATTCTTTTACTGGTCCATTTTAGGTGAACAGTACGTTTGCATTTATCATGGATGCTTGCACCTGTACATGATGCACCTTGGTTCTTATTTTTGCCCATTCCCTGTGCTCCCTTCACCTCTCCGCCCTTCCCTATTTACACAGACTTTGTTTCCATTTTTTTTCTTTCTCATCATTTTTCCTTTCCCTTCTTCCCTTCCCCTTCCCCTCTGGCCACCCCTACCCCTTTGGACCTTTTCCTGTTTCAAATTATCAATTATTCGTTTTAATCATTTTCATCCTCATTGTATCAGGTTTCTAGGGATAGAGATAAATGTGCTTGGTTCACTTTTAACTGGAAGTGCTCTGATTTTTTAAAATTTATGTTTCTTTTTTTGTCACTTACTTTCAAGAATTCTAATTGTTTTTTCTAAAAATTTCTCTGATTATGCCCTGTTTCTAAGTATTCACTTTACTTGTACTTTCTGTGGTCCAGCAATTTAAATTGAATGCTACAACTTAGATTTTTTCCAGATAAGGTTTTCAAGAGGCAGAAAAAACAAAGAAAATATTAATGTCTCATGGTTTCTAATTAACTTTGTAGCTTGATTTTCATGGATTAGAGACCCTGTGTCTTTTTTTGGTTGGGGGTGGGGTTGGGGTAGGAAATCATTTTTGGCTATGAGGCTCTCGGTAGGATTTAAACTTATATTTACACACAAATTCCATTACATGTGTAATGATTGGGCTCTAATTTGAATATGGACAGAAAGATACCTTTGTCTCTAAATTGATATCAAGAGACCTGATTTCAAATGGAGTCTTTATTACTTAGTATGTCCTTAGATAAGATACACTGTGTAAAATAGGATTTGTTAATTTAATAATGTGTATCTTGACATAAAGTGGTTAAATTTGTGGTTGAGTAGAATTTATTTGCCTAATAGGTAGGATCTTACCTTGTAATTTTAACCATCATCTAGAATGATTTTTAAATAATGGCACAAAATTATGAAATTACATCATACTCATTTAGTTTTTTTACAGTATTTTGCATTGTTTTTCAGTTGTTTTGTGTTGTAAACTCTGTTGTACTCAGGTAATAGCACTGTGTTTTACTTATCTGAGTTGCAAGATTTATGCCCTAAATGAGGTGACTGATGATACTGGGTACCTAATATCTTACCACATTTTTTCTTTATAGTAAAGCCATTTGCAAATGAAGAAGAATATAAGAAAACTGAAGAAATAGTTACAAAATTTAAAAATGGAATTGGAGGAAAATTGCAGCAGAAATTACTTGAAAGGGCAAAAGGAAAAAGAAATTGGGTATTTATTTTAGTATACTTGTAATTAAAAATTGATGCTGTTTCAAGGAAGAAAATACCAAATATCCATAGCCCTCATTTCTGAGTTATGGCTGTCACACCCTTGCAGTGACCATTGTGTTGCGATCTCCCCAAAGGGTGACGCACTTCCCGGGGCGTTTTGTGTGTGCGTGGCCCTCCGTCTTACACAAGAGATGTGAGACAAAGTGCATGTCCCTGGAGTCTGTGCTTCTGGTCCCCATGCCCAGCACAGGGCCCGGAAATCTGTATTTAGCTCCTGCTCCGTGTGGTTCCAATGTAGGTGACCCAAGACCATGTTTGAGGGAGACGTTTCATCCAGGTGATGGTAGCCTGGCTCGGACATATTTAAACACTGCCGTTACAGTGTTGGGGTGGAGACAGTTGCGGATACTGCATGTTTCTGCTGAGCAGGAGCTGCTGTGAGGATGATTGGGCATCTCAGGCCAACTACTTCTTCCCTTCTGCAGTACATGAAAGAGAGGGTGAATTTTCATAATTGAAAAGCATTTGCATTATCATTTTGGCTATGAAAGTTTTTATGATTCATTTTTTTTTTTTGGTACCAGGGATTGAACTCAGGACCTTGCGCTTGGGAGGCAGGTGGTGGTATCACTGAGCTAAATCCCTGGCCCTATGATCTTTTTAATGAGCCATTTATATCTGTGATGGGATAATACAATTTTCTACTTCCACATTTCTTTGTTCTCAATTTTGAGTATTGTGTGATTTAAATTAAAATGGTAAAAAGTAAAGAAGTTGTTGTTTTGCCTGTATCTTTTTTTGTTTATATCTTTTTCTGAATTACTAATTATAGTTTATGACATTAATTGCTTCAATTGAATATGATCTACTTGTGCATGAAATTCAGTTGCAAATTGTGAAAGAGGGACAAATAGAAGGTAATGTCTGTGAAAAATCTAAATTAATTTTAAGCCTACTGGAAAGTTTTTGTGTTTGTGATTTAGTGTTTCAGTTTTTGTTTGGAAAACTATAAATGCTTTAACTGTTATCATTAGGTGAGAGTTTAGTATCTGTTGTACCACCATATTCTCTGAGGGAACACCTGAGTGCTTTGTTGGGTAGTTATGATTCGAATAATATTTAGGACCTTACGGTTACAGAAGGAAGGGAGGGAGGGAGGGAGAGAGGAAGGCAGGCAGTGTATCTGCTGACTTAAAACAAAATGTTTTTGAATGTTGAAGAATAAGAGCAGTGTAGCTTGCTTGCTTTCTGTGTGCAGTTTCACCTCCAGGCATTAAGGAGTGCGTTCTCACTCTTGCAGCTGGAAGAGTGGTGGCTGAATGCGGCCTACCTGGACGTCCGGACGCCGTCACAGCTGAATGTCAACTTCGCAGGTCCTTCAGCCCATTTTGAGCACTACTGGCCTCCAGAGGAAGGTGCACAGTTAGACAGAGGAAGTATAATACTTTGGCATAATTTGAACTACTGGCAGCTATTGAGAAAGTAAGGACCCTCACTGTGAACTAGTACTGGGGTTACCTGAAGTCTCAGGTGGAGAGTGTTGAGAAGCTTTATTTGTTTATTTGGGACAGAATAGTGCAGTTGTGATGGTGTGATTTATGAGTTTCATAATGACGTCTTGCTCAAAACTTTTCTTAACAGAGAAAAAATGCCTGTTCATAAAGTTGGAGGTATTCCTCTAGATATGAATCAATTCCGGATGCTGTTTTCTACCTGCAAGGTTCCGGGAGTTACTAGAGATTCGATTATGAATTATTTTAGGACAGGCAAGTAAAAACAGTGTTTTGTTTTTTTGAAGTAAAGTCACTGGGATGTGGGTGTTCTCACTGTGATTTCTACTATAACACTGTAGAATGCAATTTTGAAGAATATTTCTTAATGGCTTTTGACAAATCAGAGGCTTTCTCGGACCCTTGTGTGTGGTCCGTTCTGATAGTCTGAGAAAACATGAGAATTGGTGTTCTAAACCGCGACACACATGGCTCAGCACCTTGGCTCTTTGGGGAGTTCCCAGGACTCAGTTGCAGAGTGGAATCATGAATCGGAACACTGCGGAAGTCCCAGAGCACGTGGTCTGTGTGCTTCCCTTTGCACCCTCCTCCCTTGCTGACTAACTCTCCCGACTGCTTGCTGCCATGTGCTCCTTATGCCCCTTTCTAAACCTCGTGCATGTTTTATTCTCTCTATACTTGGGGGAGCGCTAGAGTCATGTTTCTTGGGGGCGCATGAATGTATATTCACTCGTCAAGTTTTGTTTTTACTGTCAGTGTATGGCGCTTTCTGCTTGGTGTCCTGACGTATCTTGAAATGGAAAATTTTGCTATGGGCATTGCTACTTTGAGTACTTCAAGAATTTCTATGTTTTATGAATTTAATGACAGCTTATAATTACTGTAGAGTATAATTGTGGATGAATGTTTTTCTTCCATTCAATTTTTTAAAGTTTTATTGACAGCCATGTTCATAGTCCGAAGGGATGTAAGTTTGATTTCATATAGAGCTCAACTCCTCAGTGTACACCTCTTCCAGGGCTGGAGATGCTTGATGTCCTCAAGCTCACATGCTACCTCAGTGTTGCACGTGAAAGAACTGAAAAGGAAAATGGTCTTGTTCGTGGCACAGAGTTTAATGCTCAGCTATGAATGGAGAGGTGATGGAGATAGAGTAAGACTGGCAAGGAAAGAAAATATGCAAATCAGTTAAGAAACGGCTGTCAGGAGACTTGGTTTCAAATTCAGTCCTTATTACTTAGGTTATCCTTAGATAAAGTAACTCATTTGAGTCACAGTGTGCGAAGTGGGGGCCCGTTAATTCTGTGATGTGTGTTTCACCCAGTGGTTTAGGGTATTTCGCCATGGTTGTTGCATTCTTGGCCCTATGCTCTGTGAAGAAGTGTAGCCAGAGATCAAGCTAAGGTAATGAGGAAATGCAAAGAGTCTCAGAGGTGCTGGTGAGTGCTCCATGGAGAATTCGAGAAGATACAAATGCATGCCTGCATTTATGTTTTGGGTGAGGTAGCCAAGAAGGCCTCTTGAGCCATCTGAACAAGGTGGACCCGCACAGTTCTTTCTCTTTGTATTTCACTCAGTTTTGCTGCTGTTGTTTTTCTAGTGTGTGTTGAGGGCAGAAAGCCCTGGCAGGAGTGAATTTGGGGCATTCACAGGACCATACCGGTGGAGCCATGCAGGCTGGAGAGAGAGGGCAGCCTGAAAGGGCAGCTAGAGCTGGATCGCAGAGTGCTTAATAAACCAAGACGAGGTTTTTGGCTTTTATTTAGAGTATGAATTGGAGCTGTTAATGGGTTTTGAGAAAGACAGTGATGTGATCAGACTAAGGTTCCTAAAAGATCGTTCTACCTGCTATTTAGCGAGTGGATTTTTAGGGGTAAGACAAGTATAGAGACAGCGAGATGAATTAGAAGGTTGTTTTAGCATTCCGTGTAAGTCATATCATGGCTTGTACTAGGTGGTGGCATGGAGGCGCTGGAAATTAATCAGACCCTGGATGTATGTTGGATTTGGGGCTGCAAAATTAGTCTTAGATTTGTCAGGAGATAGAAGAGAAAAATAGGAAGCAGAGATGACATTAACATAGTTGGCTTGTAGCTAGGCATGGTGGCGGGCACCTGTGGTCCTAGTTACTCCAGAAGCTGAGGCAGAAGGATTGCATTATCCCAGGAGTTTGAGGTCAGCCTGGGCAAGATTGTGAGATGCTAACTCAAAAAAATTTTTTTTCTTGAGCAACTAATGAATAGGGTGGATGATGCGTGAGTTCAGATTGACTTATCAGATTTTTGGATTGTGTGTAGATTCATGAGGTGGAAAAGACTGAGAGATATTTTAGGGAGGAAAAGCAGGAGATCCCTTAGACTATGTTGAATTTAAAATGCCTGTTAGACCTTTAAATGGAAATATAAGTAGGCAGTTGGAGATAAAGTTTAAAACTCTGAAAAGTCAAGACAGACTACAAATACAGAGTTAGGATTCATCACGAGCAGACATAGAAATTGCTTGTAAAGCTCTACGAGTAGCTGAGATCACTTTGGAATGTACAAATAAAGATGAGCAGAGAACCAGTACTGATCCTTACCACAAACCAGTACTGTGTTTGCCTGGTCAGTGGAGGAGTCAGCCGAGGAAACGGAGGGAGGTAAGAAGTAAACAAGGATGGCCGACTCCTGGATTCCAGAGAAGGAAGTGTTCTGTCCAGTGCTGCGGAGGTCAGACGTGGTGAAACTGACCACTGGATTTGTCAGCATGGTGTGGTGAGTGGCTGCCCTGCGGAAGGGAGCCCATGCAGAACAGATAGACAATCAGTGAAGTGGTGAAATTTGCAAATAATGCTAGCAAGAAAAAAACTTAATGTGCGGTAGGAGATTTAAACTTTTGTTAAGAAGATAGATGATATTATAGGAATGATACAGTATTAGAGAAGGAAATAATCTTGCACAGGAGAAGATAATCAGCCAGAGTCGTTGAAAAAGTAAGAGCTGAGATGGTCAAAGGCAGAAGTAGTGGACGGGTTGGTCTTTGCTAGAGAAAAGGAAGAGGGGATGGGAGGGAATGCAGAAGGTACGCAGTGCATTCAGACATGAGCCAGTTTTGTTGTAGGAGGTGAAGAGGCCGTGTGCATGGCCTGTCCTTAGTGAAGTGTGCTGGAAGCTTTGAGGATAAAGGTCTGGAACAGTCATCGTTGCAAGTGGGAAAAGCATGCACGCTGTGGGTCGCGGGGTTGCTGAGCAGTGCTGAGTACCCCTGTGTTGGTCACCTTTCCTTTTTCAACACCCACAGCTTACAGGAGGAGATGTTTAATTTGGGTCACAGTACAGAAGAGCCACTCGATGACCACCTGGTTCCAAGACAGAAACGTCATGGTGGAAGGGCTGGCAGAGGGAATGTGCTCACCTCGTGGCAGCCGGGCAGCAGGGAGAGAAGGAAGGGAGGAACCAGGGAGGGGTCCAGCCTCAGCACTGCCTCTTGCAGCCAGGCCCCGCCTCCCAGCCCCACATTCAGCTGTGCACTCCTCAGTGGATCATCAGCTGATGAGTACAGACCCTCCTGATTCAGTCGTCTTCCAAAGCCACACCTCCGAACACAGGAGACTTTCGGGGGACGTTTCAGATCTCAGCCATAACAGCCCTTTTGAGATAGGTGTTCACGAATTCCTAGGGCTAGGGATGTAGCTCAACATTAGAGTTCTCGTCTGACGTGCCAAAGACTCTGGGTTCCATCTCCAGTCCCTTCAAAAATAAATAAAATTAGGGTGGTGATGTATTTATTTTCTTCAGTAACATTCAGGCCAGAGAAAGAGGAAGAGAAGGTAAAGATTGAAGGCTTTTGTAAAGGAGGCATTCTAATGTTGAGCCATAGACTCGATCCTGGCCAAGAAGAAACTTGTAGAAACTGTGGGTTGGGGGCGGGGCTAAGTGCAAGCTCTTGGGGTAAGAGCCTCACCTCAGTAGGGAAGATGCACTTGGGACTAGGTATGTCTTTCATCTCTTCCTGTGAGGCCCTCAGCAAAGGGAGTAGTTCTTAAAAAGGGGCTGGATCAGAGTAGCCTGAAGTTTACAGCAGACATACAGTTCTTGGGGAGTTAAAGGGTGCCAAGGAAATCATTGACTCCATTATCATTGCCTTACCAGATGTTGTCAGAGCTTTGTGTACAGCCACAGACCGGGCAAAATCCTCTCCCCTTGCTGCGCATGCGTTTGATGCCCTTTTGTGCTGCAAAATGTTTTATTGAGGAATCACTGCTAGACATTGCTGCAGTAAAATTGTCTGATGAGCAGTCAAACATCAAAGTCAGAGAAATGCACCTTTTCCTACTGCTCCCCCTCAGGTTCCTCCAGGCCTCTCCTCCCCTTCCCATTCCTGTCCTGAAAGTAAACTGGGAAGCCCTGAAGTGGTTTGGGGTTTGTCTGATTGATGCTCAGAATGTGCAAGTACTTGAAACTCTAGTGGATTTCTAGATGTCACACTGACAAGGTTAACTTAGGAGTTTTTATATTGAGTTTGTTTTTAACCTGATATGTGACACCAACATCGTACATGTTAGCAGGCCTCCGGGCAGTGTTGTGTCCACGTATACATTGTGCACTAGTCCAGAGCTGCCAGCCTCCTCACACGTCTGCCTTCCCTTTATGGTGACATCATTCACAGTTCTTTCTCCTAACTCTGGCTTGTGCCGTCCCCGGGATTATCAGTCACCTGCTGTGCAGTGACCAGCATGCCACATCTCCCCTCTCGGTGAGGGTAGCTTGGTGCCCACTGACTGACCTTTCCCTGTCCCCCTGAGATTTGCGTCATGTGATACAGTTGATGAATGAACAGTAATGACTGGAGGATTGATTATTCTACTGGACTCCTCTTCCTTTTGGGGGTGTTTCAGCCTTGTGTTCTCTGTTTTTTCCTAGAGAGCGAGGGGCATTCCCCAAGCCACGTTGCAGTGCTGTGCCGAGGCCGAGTGTTTGTCTTTGACGCACTGCACGAAGGATGTCTGATCACCCCGCCGGAGCTGCTCAGGTTGTCATGTGACTTTTGAGCCTTGTTGGGTCTCAAGCTTTGGCTTAGGTTAAAGAACAAAGGTTCAGATTTACCTTTCTATAAAGGCACAGAAAGCTGAAAAGTAAGACTTTTACACATTTATTTTTTAACTCTATTTTATTTTTAACTTAATTTTTAATTTTACTAGATGTACATAAATCTGTTCTACTTGGAGAAAAGGAAAGCAATACAGATAAGACCAATCCCATTCCCTCTTGAGAATTTATCACTGCTGCTTGCTTTGTGTATTCAGTCCTTCGTGTGAATTCACATGCATGCATCATTTAAAACAAGAACACACATGTATCTACTGTGTGCATGTGTGTACATACATGTAGTAGTAGGTATATCTTTTTTGGAAATTATACATTGCTATAGGCAAATTTACCTTTTAGGTCTTTTGCTTTTGTGATTTGGATATTTGTGTATGTTTGTTGAATTTTGTCCAAATTTCACGTCATTATTAAGTCAGGCATATTAATCAGATTACCTAAAGCCACTCTTGCAGAAATTGAATACCTGTAATTCGTGGGCTCATTGTAGCTCATGACCTATTCTGTTTGGAAAATAGAGAATTTGAATCTGCTTAAAATCAGGAGAAGTCACATACAAGTTTGGATTTCTGATTTCTTTTAGAAAATGAAGTGCTAATACTAGCCTGCCTTCTGGTACAGCAAGAGCGGGCTGGGCCTGGGTCTGAGCATTACCCATCACAAACCACTGTTCCATTCAGCTTGCTGCTGCGCTAGCACTCATTGCACTGCCTCTTTTAGCCCACTCACATTGGTTGGTTCTGCCCTTTTTGCTTAATTCCAGTAGTAGAGAAACGTTTGCCTACTTCTGCATCTCTGACGACACAGGATAATGAGAGCGCGTGTGGACGCGGTGCAGGTGGACCTCGCTCTTCTGTGTGTCCTGTTCCTCTCTCCCACCCCTGCCGTGCCTGGGTCACTGTGGTCGTCCAGTCGTCCAGGCTGGACAGCTGCGTCGTGGCCTCAGCATGCCCTGTGTCCTGTCTCAGAAGCACAGCCTTTCCTCTGAGCCCTTGGAGGTTCCCATCTTCCATGTCCATGGTCTTTGTTTAAATTTTCATTATTTCTCTGCTGAACTATTACTAGAAATTTCATTTTTTTGTTCCATATATTTTCCACATTGCCATCAGTCTTTAGTATTCCAAGGCAACCGTATCACCCCTTTGTTTAAAATTCCTAAATGATTCCCTGTAGCCCAGGATAAAGTCTGCATTACTTAGCAGTGGTCTAGATCTGATCCTGGCCTGTCTCTTCCACCTATTCCCACCCTTCCTCCTTTGTCTCCTGTATTCCTGCCCATTGCTTGCTGTGCAGCACTTATGAAATGAGAGATGTCCTTGAAATTTGTGCATACTCACACTTTTTGTTGAGCTGGCAAGTTCATAGCTTCTAGTGTCTGTTTACATCACCACAAGGTCAGCAATCCTTTTCCCTCCAAACACAAAGCTTTGAGACCCCTTTTGGCTCTTTGTATAATGTGTACTGAAATTATTTATTTCTGCGCTTTCACATCCAGATGGAGCTCTGAAAAGATTAGTTACCAGGTCTTTTTAAATTCCTTATTGCAGTGCCTAGAACTCAGTAGAATTTCACTGTGGATGGGTGTGTGTTTGTTCACATGTGTGTATATTTAAACTGTAGAAGTGTGTGTGTATGAATTGAGCAATCAGGACAGACCTGCATGTTGTGAATTTTTATCTAAAAACAAAAATATATGACATATTAGAAGCATAAGCTAGCCTGCTCACATTCAGAATCTTACTGAGTTGGGTATCAAAAGAGGTCTATTAAAATCTAATACAGCAACCTAGGAAAGAAGTAGAAATTGGGACTTTAAAGACTAGGCCAAATGTAGGCTGGGGATTTATTTAGCTCAGTGGCACCATGCCTGCTTTGCAAATGCAAGGTCCTGAGTTTGAGCGCCAGTACCAAAAAAAAGAGAAAAAATAGGCCAGATTCAGGCAATATTTTGGAGATATAATTAACAAGAATTGAAGCTCTTGGACACTGTTGCGGAGTATGGTGACTATAGATCGCAGTTATGTATTGTACATTTCAAAAAGCTAGAAGAAGGGATTTTGAAAGCTTTTACCAGAAGGAATTGATACATGTTTGAGGAGATAAATATGTTTAACTTGATTTAAATACTATTGAGTGGATTAAGAAAGAAAGCAAGCATCACTGGTTTTCAAGTTACAGAATTGTAAGTGTTGATAGTGCTGTAATAGGTGGAAGGGACAGATGAGGGGAAGGGTGATACTATTTCTTCATCTTTCCATCCACCCACCCACCCACCTTTTTGGGTTTTCAGGTCTCTGTAGTTCACACTGGCCTCGAACTCAAGTTCTCAAAGCCTCATCCCTGAGTGTGGACGGCAGGTGTCTACCACCATGCCTGGATTAATTTTCTTTTTTTGGTAGCGGCTTTATTGATACACAATTCATATATTGTACCGTTTTCCCACTTAAAGTATATATGAATGCTTTCCAGTACTTTCCCACAATTACAATCCTACAGTGAGTTTAGGGCATCTCTGTCACCTTTAAAGACGACACTGCACTCATTCTCTCCCCATTGCTTCCCAGTCCTCCTCCTCTTAACACTTCGCACGTCTCCCAGACAGTCCCAACCTCTGGCCCTGGGCAGCTGTGTCTGCTTTCTGTGTCCAAACTCACCTGCGCTGGGCATTTTCTATAAATGGATCTTACGTGTGCCCTCTTGTGTTTGGCTCCTTTCATTTAGCATCTGTTTCCAAGGGTTGTCCATGGTTAGTGTGTGTCAGCACACTATCCCGTGCTACATCTGGGTGACACGAGTGTTGAATGGTTGGACCACGTTTTATAGGACCACTCACCAGCTGAGGGACATGTGGGCTCTTTCTGTCTCTTGCCTCTTACGAGCAGCGTTGGCTTACACGTTGTGTAGGTCTTTGTGTGGACTGCCATTCCGTTCCTCGTGAGTACACGCCTGGGAATGGATTGCTAGGTTGTGTGGTAACTCCAGGGCAACTGTTTGAGAAAGTGCAAGACTTTCCCAAGTGGCAGAGTCGTACTGCATTCCTGACAGCAGCATAGGAAGGGTCCGGCTTCTCTTCCCTCACCAACGCTCACCGCTTTCCTTCTTCATCTGAGCAAATGATGTTGAACATTTTCATATGCTTTTTGGCCATTTGTATATGTCTTCCTTGGAGATACATTGCAGACTTTTAAATTGGTTTATTGTCTGTTTGTTACTGAGTTGTACAAGTTCTCTCTATATTTTGCATACAAATCCTAAGCAGATACATATACTCTGCAAATGTTCTCTCATTCTGGGGTTCTTCTTACCTTCCTAATGGCTTCCTTGGAAGCATGAAAGTTTGAATTTTGACAAAGTCCAATCTTGTCTTTTTCTTTGGCTTCTTGTGATATTGCTGTCACTCCTAAGAAACCATTGTCTAGTCCAGGGACATGAAGACTTAAACCTATGTTTTCTGCTAACATTTTTGTGTTTTATTCATGGGAAGAAGGGTAGATGACTTTTGAATGTACATTTAATTTGAAATGTTGGCAGAAATTGAGGTAGAGATAGTCAACCAGGACTTGGGACTTTGGTAACAGATTTGGAGAGAAAAGGAGGCTAAAATTAGAGGTCTGATTGTCTCTTACATAAAGGTGATAACGGAAGCGACTGAAGAAGTGGATGAGGTTACTGACAGTCCAGAAAGCTCAGTGGCAAAAGTCTGGGAGAGGTTGCAGTTGGCAGTGGGGGGAGGCAGTTGAGCAGCGAGGCTGGGGAGGCCGCGTGGGGCGGTGCTGCAGAATGAGGCGAGCCAGGCGCTTGGGCTGTGACCCGCTCCATCTGAGCCGGTGCGACTGAGCCAGCTGCTGGGTCCCTATGGGGATGTTACACACACAATCCCCCTTGGGTGCTGAGCCCTGGCCTCTGTGCTCTTTCCAAATCCTCTTTCTCATCTTCCTCAGACACCTGACGTACATCCACGAAAAGTGCCAGCGAGAGCCCCCGGGCCCTGGAGTTGCTGCACTGACCACTGAGGAGAGAACCCTGTGGGCCAAGGTGCTAATCACACCCCTCCTCATAAACTGTCCTCTGACAGACTCTTGGTTTTCTGGACGCACTGCATGGAAATCGTAGCGCTTAATCCTCCTCTCCTTACCCGTAGGCACGAGAGTATCTGATCAGTCTGGATCCGGAGAACTTGGGTTCATTAGAAAGAATTCAGAGCAGCTTATTCGTGTATTCCATGGAGGACAGCAGTGCTCATGTCACACCGGAAGATTACTCCCAGGTGACTGTCTCGCTCGCCTGCCGTCTCACAGGCTGAGCTTTCTGGAGGACTCTTGTGTATGCTGAACATGAGAGTTTGCTCTGTTTTTATAGTCCCGCCGTTAGAATTTTTCTTGGCTACAAATCTTCGAGTATCGAAGCGACTCATACACACAGTGTTGTGCAGGTCCTGGCCACAGGCAGGTGGCGCCTGTACCCGGTGCAAAGAAGGGCGGCTGCTGCTGGCGTGGCCCGTGCCAGTGCATCCTCCGTCGCACTGACCGCCCGCGGGGAAGGGGCCCAGCGTCCTCCCTGCCCATGAGTGCCCGCGTGTGCCCGGCTGGTTGGCAGCCCCTCCTCAGAGTCTGTCCGCCTCCTACGGGACCCCTAAACAGGCTTCACTGACTTCAGGGTCAGCGCTGCCGCTTGGCTGCCCACCGCAGCCTGACGTTTTCCCTTCCGGGGACAAAAGGCAGGCCTTGCAGTGTCAACATGGTCTCTTGGAAATACTTAGAATATTCTATTACCTAACGCAGTCCTCATTGTAAATGGTAGGAAGAATAATTCAGGATTAAAAATCTTATAGCTAGAAAACAACTCTTAGCTGTTTTTTGCAGTGGGGGACAGAATGCTTCTTAAGGAAGAATATGTTTTAAAGCAGAATTGTTTAAACTTTTTTAACCTCACTGTTCTTAGACATACAATTAGATTGCAGCTCACTGTATACACGGTTGGTAGTAAAATACAGTGACTGTTTAAACTTTAAAGAATATTACAGTAAAAGGCACCTTCCCATCAACCTCCTCAGCCGTCACCCACCTGCAGTACCTCCTCCCATCGTCCTTGCTGCTTTCCGAAGCCGCCCTGGAGTCCTCTGTCCTGAGGGTCTTCGGCTGTGCTGTCCTGGCTCCTTCAATGTCCCGAATTGATGCAAAGTGTTTACCTTTCGTGGTCATTTTGACTTTGGGGAAGAGCTAGAAGTCACACAGTGCCAGATCCAGTGAATAAAATAGACAAGGACACAACGCCATGTTTTTGCAAGCCTGCCATTCTGTTGGATGACACTCAACAGCAGCGCTCACCAGATTTTTGATCATACCTTGTAAAGACACTAGGATTTCCAGAACTGCTTTAGAAAGTGGCAAGAAGGACAGGTGTGTTCAGAGCTGGTTAGGGGATGTTCTGAGGGGGTTAATGGCAGTGTGTCTCTTACTGTAATAAATAGTTTTTATGTAAACACAGTGTATATTTTCTTTCATTTTCCTTGGTGTACACACATAGTGTGCGTGCACGCACATACTGTATTTAATAGAAGTTTCATGAAACTAGTGCTTGTTTTTACTGTCTGTGATGTTCTTTGCTCTTTGTATTCTATTTTATTCTTTGTCAAGAGTGTTGATTGTGATATACTAAATTGATTTCATGAATCGTTAATGGGCCAAAATCTAGTTTGGCAAACAGGTTGAGTGAGATACAAATTCTTAAAGAAATTTACCTTTTAATTCTTTAGTGACTAAGCTCACCTATGCCTCTTGTACTATCCCAGTTACAAAAGGCTTCTGTTTTCAGTTGCATCTTCTATAAATATTCATGAATAATGTACCGGGTTTCTCTTTTCTGGTAAGATTTTTGTAACTTGAGGTAAGAGAAATAACCAAACTTGGGGCCAGAATTATTATGTTTTGAGTATAACTATACTATCACTTTATTAAATTTGGTTCACTCGAACAGAAAAAGTGGACTGACATAAGTGTTTAAGATGTAAATATTTAAACCAGTGTTAATGAGCCCAGCCCCCTGCTTGTTTTTTTTGCAGGGCTGTTGCTGGGGCTCAAACCCAGATGCCCTTTTAATGTGGAGAAATTCAATTTCTTTTAGATCCTTGCCATGGTCCTTACTGGAGATCCAACAGTACGCTGGGGTGACAAATCCTATAACTTGATTTCCTTTTCTAATGGAATCTTTGGCTGTAATTGTGATGTAAGTAAAGTATTGAAGTCTTTTTTCTCTTCCTTTTAGGTTAACTTAATGGCAGTAGACCACAAATAGTTAGGCAATGCTGTGCTACAGATAAGTAGGTACTATTTTTTAGCTTAATGGCATTATGAGAAGTTCAGTTACAAATTCTCAATGAAAGTTGAGTATAGGTCAGGTTTTTTCTTTTGTAGTAAGACCAGCAGCAGTTTGATGTATATCTGCTAAAAAAAATTTGCATCTAATTTAAAAAGAACCACAACTATTTTAAAAGATACTATATGACATTATGTTCTATGCATAAGGAAATGTAAATGGATGTATTTCTAGATTCCCCTAGTAATTATGTAACAGTTTTCCTAAAATGACACATGACCCTGGGGTACTGTTTAGATGTTGAGTATTAAAATATCTGGCAATTAGTACCAGTTTAGGTCTTTATGAAAAAATAAAGAAGAACTTTTCCTATTTTCTTTCTCCTCTTCCCATGGTCTTTACTAGCTTTGTCTTAGATTCAGGAGATCTATAAATCAGGGGGAAAAAAACCAAAAAATAAGGGATCATTGATTTTTTAAAAATCAGTAGTCAGTTTTAAGTGATGGAAATTTAAATCAAACTGGCATTAGCTGAGGAAAGTATATGTTGGCCTAGGTGTACACCCAAGTATGAATAAGGCTGACTTCCTGTGTCCACATGCTTTGATTAGAAATCTCTTTCCTGTTCAGTAGACGCCAATGTGATGTTGCCTGCAGTCTCGCGTCTTCAGAGATCTCTTAGTCTAGCGACCCCTGTGGAAACAGCCAGCTTCCTTTTTCCGGTAGTGCTGGCAAAAGTCCTGGAATAATTCTCATACCTGGCTGTGATTGGCCTGTATGACTCCCCTGCCTGTCCTAGAATCAGGTGCTCACCTGAGCTTGGCGCCAGACACATGCCCAGGATGTGGCCATTGCCTGAGGACAGTAGATGCTGTTACTCCAGAGGGTGTGGACTGGTTGGTTGATAGGCAGGTGCTAGGCTAGGTGTCTGTTAGAGCAGCTCCTTGGAGTGACGGGGAATGGTGGCCCTGAGTTGTTCTGAGGATTGTTTTCCTCATCCCTCCTTTGAGTTCACTGTTGAAAGAGGGCCTCTGATAGTTGCTCAGTGTCTGCAGCCCATTTTCTGGCTCTGCGTGACGTCCTCAATCGGGCTCCTGCCTGCCCTTCCTCTGAGAAGCGCCCTCTGGGAGCTGGTTAGCAGCCCTGGCCTGGCACATCTGCCTCAGAGACTGACATCCTCAGCCCTCCTCCCTGGTTGTGGGAGAACAGTGGCACCGGTGCTGCCGCCGCAGGGAGGGCAGCGTGCATGGCAGCATCTGGGGTTCTCTGAAGCCGGCCAGGGCCCTGCAGCCCCTCAGCCATGCCTCGCTGATGGCCACGGCTCACGCGTCCAGCACTGCCTCCCTCGCAGCCCACCGTCCACCCCGTGGCTGCTGTGGACCGGCTGCAGTCTCCTAGGCCTTCAGTGCCCTGACGTTGATGCAGGAGAAGGTGACTCCCGGCCCGCTGGATGTCAGCTGTGCCCTGAAATCGAAGAATGAGTTCCACAGGACACAAGAGGTTGAGTAGGGAAGGTTTATCGAGGAACAGGAGTAGCTCCGGAGAGTGGGAGAGGCCACCGAGGCCCTTTGTCGGGGGAACTAATACAGCAGAGTCACAGTGCGTACCCAGTGGGTCAGACTGTAATCACCCAGGGAGGTTGCAGTCCAGTCGCTTAGCTAATACTGATCCGATGGGGAAGGGGGCACGCAGCAGGGGCAGGCTGACACCAGCCTTGGCTTATCTGTGACTTCCGAGACAGGAACATTCTTGGGAAGGGATGGGTCACCCTCCCAGGTGTCTGATGCATATCTGTACTTAGGGACTGGTGGTCCTAATTACTGTCCACTTCTGCCCATCCCTTAGAGAAGCACGCAAGTCAGGCCACTGTGACTGTCTTGAGGACCAACCCTCTTCAGGCGCCTCCAGCCACAACTCTGATGTCTTTGATTTCCATTGACTTCCTTGAAAGCCCAGCCCCTGTCTGACTGTACATTAATTTCCCTCTAACTTAGCTGCCTATAATAGTGTTAGGGTCACATCACAAAGGCGATGAAATTGTGTCTGCATCTCAGGCCTTCCCTGCTTTTCCCTGCACTGTCACATTTAGTTCCCGAATGAAGACAGTTAAAGTGCAGGCCGTAACAGAGAAGGAACCATGTGGCGGCACTCATCACAGGAACATGGAGAGAACAGTGCAGAAATTTGTCCTCCAGAGCCGCTGGCACACTCCTGTCATCCCAGCACGCTGGAGGCTGAGACAGGTGGATGCTGTGGTTCCAGGCCAGCCTGACCTGTATAATGAGCTCAAGGTTAGCCCAGACTGCATAGTGAGACCTTGTCTCAAAAAAAAAAAAGTGTCCTCCACTAAGTGGTGGGAGAAGTCTCTAGCTGCACTTTCTTTGCCTAAATGCAGCCACAAACCTGCAGCACCATGAAACTCAGCCCATCTTTCCCCCGTTTCTTCCGCATTGAGAATTATTTCTACCACTGCCTCTGGGCGCTCTTGTAGGTATAGATATATTGGCTATGCTTTCTAATTCTTGCCTAGATGTCTTTTTTTTTTTTTTTTCATTACTGGGCATTGGACCCAGGGCCAGAGATGTATCCCTGGCCTCTTTTGATTGACTGGTTGATTGATTGATTGATTGAATTTTTTACATGCCTCCTTTGTCTTTAATGTCCTTTGAATCATTATATGTAAATTATACCCCTCAAAATTTAGTTGAAAAACACTCAGATACAAACAGCTTTTTTTAAACTGAAATGTTTTGGCAACTAGTCTATTTCAGTATTCACTATGATTTGTGTTACAAAATTGAATGCTGTCATATGGTATAATAACAGTAGATTTATTTTAAATTCCAAGTTCACTGTTTATATAGTCGGCATCACTCAGAATAATAGAATTGATTGAATTTTTGAGACAGGGTCTCACTAAGTTGCTAAGTTGCCCACGCTGTGCTTGAATTTGCAGTCCTCCTGCCTCAGCTTCCCTGAGTCCTGGGATGACAGGGCTGCGCCTCCAGGCCCAGCTCTAGTGCTCTTAGGGTCCTGAATGCCCTTGGATGGCGTGCCGGCCCGATCTGTTTTTCACCATCTCAGCACTGCATGTGCACATCTGCTCCAGCTCCCAGGGGAAGCAGCACTTCATCTCTCTAGCTGTTCGTGTTTCCTTACACACTTAATTTCCCGGGTGGTTTCTGTTTCCTCACAGACCCACACACCCCTGACCCTAGCAGCCCTAACGAAAGCCTCCAACCAGCTTTGAACATTGTCTCTTAAGTAACACCGAGGTCCCCAGGGTGGCTGTGCCTTTGTTGCAGGAGGTGAGGTGTTTGAGGGTTCTGTCTATGCCTTATGTCTCTCCCAAGAGAGGAACGAGTACGTTGGCTTGGATTTTAGTTTGACAGCTGTCTGAGCTCCTGTGTGCTGTTTCAGCATGCTCCTTACGATGCCATGGTCATGGTGAACGTCGCCCACTACGTGGATGAGAGGATTTTAGAGACAGAAGGAAGATGGAAGGTATGCAGAAGAGATACTTCTTTCCCCTGTACGTTTTCATGGAGAGAATATCTTTAAGTCGTCCCTGTTTTCAGGGTTCAGAAAAAGTACAGGATATACCACTTCCAGAGGAGCTTGTGTTTACCGTGGATGAGAAGATATTAAATGACATCAAGCAAGCTAAAGCCCAGTTTCTTCAAGAGGTAGATTTCTTTTCTCTTAGGTGGTGATTAATGTTTTCTCTTTTACCAGCCATCTATGAAGTTTTGGCTATCCCTCTAGTGTGTTTGTAGAAAACATTTTAGAGGTAGGGGAAGTGGGAGGGGCAGGGGAAAAGAAAGAAGGGAAAGGAAAAATTACGAGAAAAGGGAAAAATGGAAACAAAGTCTTTGTAAATAGGGAGGGTGGAGGGGGGGAAGGGGAAAAAATAAGAACCAAGGTGCGTCATGTACAGGTGCAAGCTCCCAGTGATGACTGTAAACCTACTGTCTACCTAACGTGAGCCAATAAGAGAACTTAAGCAAAAAAAAAAATTGTAGAATCACAGCTTCAGAACATGGAGTACTTGTCCGATGGTGAGCCTTACTCAGTGACGGTTCCTGGGTTCCCTGTGGCGGTCCTCACTGTCCCTGTTGCCCCTCTCTCTGGTAGGCGTCTGATCTGCAAGTCGTGGCACCCGCCTTCACCTCTTTCGGCAAAAGGCTGACCAAGAAGCACTCTCTGCACCCCGACACATTCATCCAGCTCGCGCTGCAGCTGGCCTATTACAGACTGCACGGCCGGTGAGGCTGCTCCTTTCCGAGTCCGCACTCGGGCCCAGGGTGTGTCCCCAGCAGTCGCAGCCTGACACGCCCAGCATGTTCCTCTCGACCGTGTTAGTGCTGCAGGCTGCCCTCCTCCTTAGGTACCACAGCATCCACGGGATGCTTTTGACAAGTCTGCTCCCTTCTGAGAGTGGCTTTGCCCTGTAGAGCACTTGGTTCTCTTGCAACCTCAGTTTTCTGGTGGGCTCACGAAAACTGGATTGTATCGATGACCCAGCCTTTCTTCATCTTTGGAAGAGGAGAGGCACTGCGTTACGACTTCCTAGAGCCCAAGCGGGAGTGGAAGCCCCTTGCTCTTGCTTTTATATCCAACCTGGCATAAGTTTCGGGCACTTAGGTTGTTTCCATCTTTTGACTTTTGTGAATAATGCTGCTGTGAAATTCACATACAAATACCTGTTTGAGTCCTGTTTTCGGTTCTTTTGAGAAGTGAAATTGCTGCTCTGTTTGATAATTTTATGTTTAACTTTTTGAGAATTGCTAAACTGCTTTCTGTATAGCTGTGCCATTTCCTGTTCCCACCAGCTCTGTCCATTTTTCCAGTTGCTCCAAGTTCTTGCCAGCACTTAATACAAAGGATGATCAAAACACACGGTGAACATTTGAAGAAAATTTATTGCAGTGAAAAGCACTTTGCCACTAATCCTCCTCAGAATACACCTTCTCACTTTGAACACATTTATCTGCCCATTCTTGCTACTTTCTGAAGCAGTTTTGGAGTCCTCTGTTGTGTCTTTACGAGATGTGATCAAAAATATGGTAAATGCTGCTGCCAGGTGCCATCCAGCAGAAAGGCAGCTCGTCAAAATGTGACACCTTGGTCACCAGATCTGGCACTGTGCGACTTCTGGCTCTTCCTCAAGGTCCAAATGACATGAAAGATAAACATTGTGAACCAATTCAGGACATTGAGGCAGCCATGGCAGTGCAGCTAAAGACACTTGGGAAAGAGGGCTCCAGAGCTGCTGCAGGAAGTGGCGAGGATGACGACGTGAGATTGGACTGAGGGGAAATACTTTCGGCGTCAATAGCATTGTGCTTTTAAAACATTGTAAATGTTTTAAAAATCAAATATTCACCGTATTTTAGGTCTCTGATCCATTGGAGTTGATTTTCATATATGGTATCAGGTAAGGGCTTGTATTAGGACTCTCCAGAGCACAGAATCAAGTATCTGTACTGGGGGAGAGAGAGTGATTGATTGAGATGTGATGGGAATTGGCTCCTGTGACCATGGGGACTGAGCAGTGCCGTGATCTGATCTGCCTGTGACCTGAAGAAAGAGGAAGGCCGGTGGTGTAACTGGGCGTTGAGTGCAGCTTCCCGAGAGCCCAGCGCAGAGCTGCGCGGGTGGGGGCGGTCTGACCGGGGCCACTAGTGGAGCGGAGCGGTGTCTGGCTCCACAGCAGCTGCCCGCCTCCGCCTCTGCTCCACCCGGGCCCTCAGCAGCTGGGCAGTGCCTGGGTCGCTGCTGAGGGCTGCCTTCCTCAGAGCTCCTGTCTCCAGGACTTGCTCTGCAGCTTCGCTCTCCCGGTCAGGCGGACACTGACACACGGAGCTGACCGCGTGGGGCCCAGCTCCGCCTCGGGGTGCTTGCTTCCCACTCAGCTGTCTGCACCTTCTGGAGAAGCAGTGGGCCCAAGGTGTGAGAGGGTTTTGGGTTTTTACTTCTCTTCAGCTGTGCCTGCCTTTGGGTCAGGACCAGGCTCTGTCCCAGTTTGACACCTGAAGTGTGAGTCATTCACCTTTGTCTTCTTCGAGTTGTTTGGCTCGCGGAGTCACTTTGTGTCCCTCCAGAGCAGGGAGCCGGCGCAGCGACCATAGGGTCTGCACGGGCACCGCAGCCTGCAGAGCAGCCACGGTACCAGGCTCTCCTGTGCTTTGGTTTTGAAAAGCAAAGACTTAGAAGTCTGAGTTGGAGGTCTCAGTCTCCGAATAAAGCCAGCTTTATTGGCTCACTTTATTGCATTTGTGATGACAGTACATTTTCTTTACGACACACTTTTTGTATTTTCATAGCCCTGGCTGCTGCTATGAGACAGCGATGACGAGATATTTCTATCATGGCCGCACAGAAACGATGCGGTCGTGCACAGTGGAGGCCGTCAGGTGGTGCCAGTCCATGCAGGACCCTTCCGCCAGCGTGAGTATCTCGGAGGAGGAGCTCAGGTTGGTTTAATTGAGCTGTGGGACTCTGGTCACTAAAATACTTTGAGATGTTTTGTTTTCTGAAGTTTGCAAACCACCATGCATGTTCATTTGCCAGTGAAGTGTGCACTTGGAAAGACTAAGAAACAAAGATCTCCAGGGGAAAAAGAAAATAAATGGTAATTATGTGAGGTGATAGATCTGCTACCTAGCTTGCTGTGGTGACCATTTCACAGTGTACGTGTTCACCTGAATATCAAGTTGGACACCTTAAATACGCATAGCTTTTGTCAGTAAAGCTGAAAAACCAACAGCAAAAGAAACACGGGCCTGGAAAAAGGAACCCGTTTGTGTCACCTTCTGAGCAGCGTCTTCGTGCTTTGAGACTTTGAGCCTGGCTGATCTGCCTGTAGAATGGTTCTGCCACATATTGTGAAAGGGAAGCTGTTTTTCTTGAAGTTGAATGTTTCTGAAATCATAGATTCTGGTTCTCCGAAATCACCAGGGCCAGCCCAGGTGTGTATGTTTTGTTCTGTGATTTTTGCTTTTTGAAGTATTTAGACAACAGTATATTTCTTCCCTACTGTTGTTTTAGTTTTCCTGGCCTGGTCATGTACATTTTATTTTCATATTATTATTTTTGTAGTTATGAATTTGTTTTGAGATCCCAGCTGTCTCTGTCATTATATTTGTCATCGTCACTTCAGCACTGCTTGCATGTTCTTATTTTCCTTTTCCAGAAAAGAAACAGTCAGAAACCAGGCACATAGGGAAGGAAAGGCAGTAGGAGAATTGAGGGAAGACACAGTAGCATGTACTGCAGGTTCCTGGAAATCTTTCCTCTCCCAGATGACCCAAATCCTAGTTATAATGGGCTTAGGTTCTTTTTGATTAGTTGGGTTTTATGCAGTTTGTTGTTGGAACTTGTTTTCTTGATATGTATTGATTTGATCGTCTTGCTTTGTAACAGCTTTTTGAGCAGCAGCAGCAGATGCTGGAGGCTTTTGCAAAGCATAATAAAATGATGAATGAATGTTCTGCCGGGAAAGGTATGTATGCTGGGATTATTGTGACTTTAAAGAATCATGCTGAGAATTTCTTCTGACTTCAGCTTTGGGGTTTTATTGCAGGGTTTGACCGACACCTTTTGGGTCTTTCACTCCTAGCAAAGGAGGAGGGTCTCCCAGTCCTGGAGCTCTTCATGGACCCACTGTTCTCCAGAAGGTAATGGGTGAGGTGCTTTACACTTGTGTTGGTGCTGGAAGCGCTTCAGAAACAATGTGGCCCTGTAGGCCTGCAGTGATACCTTTCTCTGTGCACTGCAGTGGAGGCGGCGGGAATTTTATTCTCTCGACAAGCCTGATTGGTTATCTACGAATCCAGGGAGTAGTGGTTCCCATGGTGCACAGCGGATATGGATTTTTCTACCACATCAGAGACGACAGGTGAGGCTGCTCCCTTGTTCTTACTAGCTGGACTCAGAAAGGTACCACATTTGTTGTCTGAATGTTTTTCTACACTGTGGTTCTAATTATGTTGTCATCTGTCACGAGCTATGTAAGTAACTATTATTGCCACTTAGACATTTAATACGTATTTACATTTGTCTTCCAGGCTTTTGAGACACTTATGAAATCAGTCCTTTAGAAGCTTTAATGCAAAACGCTGTTTCAGGTTGTTCCAGTGATCATCTGTCCCATCAGTACATTCTGTAACGTACAAGCTGTGGTCAAAAGCTACAGTGACTGTTTAAATTTTTAAAAATTGTATCACAAAAAAGGATACATTTCCATGAATCCCCTGCAGAATCCTCCTCCTCAGTTTGCACACATTTATTCTGTCCTCACCACTTTCTGAAACAGCTCTGAAGTCCTCTTTCCTTTCCTCTTTAGTTGCACTGGTGTGGCTGCCTTGATGTCCCGAATCATTCAAAACATTGACCTTTAACGGTCATTTGACTTTGGGGAGAGCCAGAGGTCCAGTGTGCCAGACTGTGTGGACAGGGCGGGCGAGGACACACTGTCGTGATGTTACCAGCCTGCTTTCCCTTGGGTGGCGGCTGGCAGCAGCATTCACCACATTTTCGCCAACACCTAATAAAGGAAAGAGGCCTCTCAGACTGCTTCTGAGAGTGGCAAGGACCAGGGGATGAGTGTGATCAAAGCCCGGGGAAGGATTTGAGGGAGATTAATGCGTCTTTTACATTTTTTGAATTTTCTGGGTATTTGGATCCTCCTTGGTATTTGGTCTGTACAAGGCATTTTACGGTTAAGTTCAGACAGTTTGTAAATGCATTCCACCCCTCCCTGTCCATGGGCTGTGCATGTGCAGATCGAAGAGCATAGTGATGGAGAAATTAGAATGGAAGTATGCAGGACGTATTTGAGTTTTAAACAAAGTGTTTCTAATACTTTCCTTTCTAAAAGATGATTTTATCAGCAGCAGTGTTTCAGAATCATTGGCTCCCATGGCTGTATGATTAGTGCATAGTTAGCTGTACCAGTGAATTGTGCCTTCCCACAGGGCTCAGTTTGTGCCCCTTAATGTGTAAATTAACAGTTAAATGAAAAAGATAGATAAGGGTCTTCTTTTCATAAATAGCATCAGAAATCTAAGATCATCCTGATAGAGCATAAGGGAGCATTCTCACACTTCCTGAAAAGTAGCGGCTTCTGTGTTGTGTGCAGCAACGGAGTTCCGGCCACACACACCTCAGTGCTCTGGCTGATAGGAAAGACCATCTCGAAAGATCCAGGCAAACCACTCACTTGTTCCAAAATCCTTAGTGGGGGCTTGGTGCACGGGGTGCTGCTTTAGGCTCAAAGGACGAAAGAGACAAGCTCTCCTCTCCTACAGAGTGTGTTTCGTACTAGACATAAAAGGCAGACAGATTAGCGTGGTGACCCTAAACAGTTAGCCATGCTGTGGAGAAGTGAGCCAGTTGCTGTGTGGCAGAGATCACCTGGCAGAGCGGTGAGCAGTGCTGGTCCAGTGTGGCCGGGGCAGGCTGGGAGGAGTGAGGCACAGCTGTGACGTTAGAGGAATGCCTGCTTCCCGGCAGCTGCCAGCGTCGAGCCAAGCCAGCACACTCTCTCTTAGGGCATTGCAGCAGGTCCCTTCCCTCCAGACCGCTGCCATCCCCAGATGCCCTGGTGTGCCTTCTGAAGACAGCTCAGGGGATGTCGCTCTGCTGAGACCCCTCAGCGCCTTCCCATTTCACAGTGAAATGCAGTCATCCTGTGAGGCCCTACGCACTCGAGCCCTTGCTGCCTTTCTGACTTTATCTCCTACACCTCAGCCCTTCCCTCCACTCTGGCTTGCTGTGCGTTGTGGGCCTTAAGTGTTGCAAGCAAGCTTCTCTGGGGCGTTTTGGCATGGATTTCTCCACCTGGTCTTCCTTGGAGATGCATGCAGGCGCCACCACCTTACCTCGCACCGCTGCCTGTTCAAACACCACTCCTCCAAGAGGCTCCCGTGATCTCTGGCATGGCGCTTCTCTTCCCTCCCTATACCTGAGGCCTCTATAGCACTGATACCTGCCGTGTGTGGGAGTGTGTGTGCACATCTGTGCACGCACGTTTAGTGTGTTATCTGTCTTTCCTCCCTTGGATGTAAATAAGCTGCATAGGAACCGGGGCTGTTATTTCCCCAAGTGAGTAACAGAGCCTTGTACGCATGTTGTACTCAGTAAACGTTTTCAGAATAACTTTGTTAAGAGAAGTGTGCAGGTCCTGGGGTAGGTGAGACATTAGCACTCAGAGAGGCAGGGAGGCACTAGAGCTGTCACTGCATTTGAGGGGAGCATGACGGAGGAGTTGGAGAGGAGACTGTGTTGTCAGCCCCAAGTGCACATCAGAATCACCTGGAGAGCTTAAAAGAAAAACAACCACCAAAAACACCATCCTGAGACACTGCTTTGCTTGGTGTGGTAAATTTCAATAGAACCCTGCGACATGGTAGGGAGTTTGGATCTTGTGCCCGGAATAATGGGACTCATTTTACACGCTTTAAGCAAAACAAGCAGTGACTTGTTTTACATACGCATAAGGGGAGCCTGGGCTGCTCCATGGGTATAAATCAGGTGGATGGTGATGTGCTTAGACTAGAGGAGAGAAATAAGGAAGTGTCCTAGTCCACTTGCTGCTAACAGACTGAAGCTGGTAAGTATAAAGGGAAGAGGGAGACTTTGGCTTACGTATCAGTCAGCTCGTTTGTTGACAACTTGTGGCAGATCGAGTGGGCAAAAAGGAATACGCTCAGTCCAAGGGGGCAGCCACTCTGCTTTGTCACCTTCAGGGTGGAGGGCAGCGTCAGCCTCCTGAGGACCTAGTCTCTTCTCAAAGGTCCAGCCCTCCCGACACGGTCTCACAGGGCCACATGGAGGGCAGATGCATCCAGCCGAGGCAGGAAGGACGGCGATGTCTCTGGCAAGGCTGCCAACAGGGAAGTAGGGAATAGAAGATGCGGACGGTTGTGGAATTAGAGCCAGTAGGGCTTCCTGAGGGACTGTGAGTTTGGTGGTGCATTTCCTGGGGTGAAGGGACTAGGGGGACCGGTCTGAGTCAGGTAAAGGGGAACCAACCAAGATCGTGTGATGTGGACAGGAGCTCACTGTCCCTCGAGGAAAGGCCGTTTAGTTAGGGCCTGAGTGGGCATTTTCCGCTTCTAGTCCCGGAGGGGCATGTTTGTGAGTCATCACTACAGACACACCCAGAACAGTTTCCAAACAAAACAGCTGGAAACCGGAAGGGTTTTCTTTTTCCTTCCATTGTTATACTTGAAAATTGTGACTAAAAGAAAATTTGCTGCTTTTTAAGCAGCGTTTTAAATGTAATATATTATCATTGCAAATAGTTTGTAAAATATGAAAAAATACAGGAGAAGTTATCTGCCTGTCCTCTCAGGAACAAGACTGCTACTGTATGATGCTTCCAGTTGATAATGTATATAGATTGTGTGTGATTTTTAAATACTAATTTTGTGTCCTTTTTGTGATTCTTTCTTACTATGTCAAGCAGTCCAAATGCCATTAACGATGCTTTGAGATATTTTAGGGTTGAATAATTTCCAGTCTTCTACGTGGAGGACTTAGGAATAGTTTCCAGACTTCCGTAAGATGCATCTTCATAACCTACCTAACTGCTTCCCTGTCTTGCTTCCCCATCTTTGCAAATAGTGCGTCATGTTATAAATGCATCCTTTCTCATTTCATCACACCATTTCCACCTCTAGGTTTTATAAAATACTTTTATTATTTGGGCTGGGGATGCCTGCCTTACAAGTACAAGGTCCTGAGTTTGATCCCTGGTACCAAAAAAAACCCTTTCGTTAGTATGATAGGCAAAGATAACTTCTTTATTCAATAAGTGAAATATTTTTATTGTTTATTGGCACTATTTTGTGATTAGTCTGTGCAGGTAGGAAAGATAATTTGTATAATTTAGAAAGATAACTGAATTTTTAGAAATTTAACACTTAAACAGATATTGTTAATCTGTGGAAAGAAACATTTAGATGCTGCCTAAGTATTTGCAAATCTCACATGCAGCACAGCTGGAAAATTGATGACAGCTCACTAGACAGAAATCAAGCCAGACTCCTGCAGGGCTCCGTGTGATCAAGCACCCCACGTGTACACAGTGACCCAGTGCCGTTGCGCTGTGCCGGCCCCAAGCAGGGTTTCATTGATTCTGCTTGGTCTGAAGCCTGTGGTGAGGGCGTGATTTGCTGTCTTTCAGGGATGTGGAAATCACATGTCTCACCAGCTGTATACCCTGCATATTTTGCTTCTGAGCTCTATACCTGCATTTCATAAAAGCTTTTGAGAGCTTGGAAAGGGCAAGGCTGGTTCCACAAAAGCTAGGAGCCAGGTTACTCCTCTGAGGCAATAGAAGCAGGCTTTTCTCCTGTTCTTCCATTGCTTGGCCACTGTCTCACCGGCTAGACCTGAGATTTCTCCATCGAGGGAGCCAGGAGAAGGTGTGGCTTTTTCTTTGCTTCTTCAAGAAATAGCTTTTCTCACCTCTTAGCAGTCTCTAGTTTTTGGGATTTTTAAAAAATGCTGTTCAAATGCTGTACTCTTTCCTTACAACCAGTTCAAATTTCAATTACAAACAATAACATGGATTCATATTCCAACCCAGTCCAGTGACATTTTTTAGCAAGAAGGGTTTTGATTGTTTTCTTTTGAATATCAAACCTTCCTCCAGAGCACTCTTGGGCTGTAATTTTTTCATTTTGTTGTCCTACAGGTTACCTATAAATCCTTTGAGTTGGTTTATGTTACATGTGCCTGACATCACATCTGACCTACCAGTAGTGAGGTCTGGTGCAAAGGCCCTAGCTCTGTCCCGTAATCACTCATGACCTGTGCTTCTCAGGTTCATTGTGGCCTGCTCAGCCTGGAGGTCTTGTCTGGAGACGGATGCGGAAAAGCTCGTTGAGC